CCCGGCCCCACAGAGCCCGGGACAGTCCACCCAACCCCACCACAGAGAAAACTGCACCCACCCCACCATCCACTCATCTTCCAGACTACATAAGACGGTAAACGCCCAGGCTGAGATCTTCCTCCACCTCTCCGGAGGAGCCGGAGTCTCTCAAAGAAGTATCCACACACCACGACCAAGGGGGGGTCCCCGTACATATGGAATATGTAAGAGAGTGGAGAGTCTCTCACTCAGAGAACTATGGTTACAATGTAACCGTATGATTCCTGTGTCTCCCTGATTCTGGTTCTGGCTGAGGTGTCATCCTGTTAAACGAGAGTTTTTCCTTCCCACTGTTACCAAAGTGTTTGGTTATAGGAGGTGTCAGAATGTTGGGGTTTTCTCTGTTTTCTTTATATTAATGTAGCGTGGGGTTAGGGTTAGATTTGGAGCTATATAAATAGAACTGAATTCCTTTGAATTGGACTGAATGATCCCACACTGCTTCAATAATGTTTATCTATGGGGCTGCCAATCTGGGACTTTTCTACCATTGTATTCTTTTACTGTGTCATGTCATAATTATATAGTCTGACAAAATCACTAACATCACTCACTGAAAAGAAGCCCCAAAGTATGACAGTTTCCACTGTGTTTTACAAATGAGTGTAGACACTCACTTTTATACCTCTCTCCTGATCTTGATGACAATTTGAACAAAAATTTCTCATTTGTATTCATCATTCCATAAAACCTGTTGTTATTTTTTTTTTTTAATGAATCATAGTTTGTTGTAAAATAGCTTAGAAAACAAACAAACAGAAAACAGTCCTTTTCAGGTACAGGGACTACACTGACAATGATTTAAAAAGCAACCAATTTCCAAAGCAAAACTTGGGAAGAACTACATCAAGCCTGGAGAGCACTTTAAAAAATTGCAGCACGTGAAAGGCCTGTACTATGCAAAATATAAAAAGAAATGACAGGTGGCAGAAGACTTTTCTACAGTATCAAAATTGAAAGAAATTTATAGGATCATTTAAAATATTAGGTTGTAGCCTAACTGAAAAAAACTGTAGGTCATGCTCGTAAATCAAATAGATGCCTGAACAACTAACAACCCAGCACACAATAAATGAGAAATTAAGTTCTGCCAGTGAGAAACGTTACCTTTACATCTGGTTTAGCCCAAGGGGAAGTTTGTGTATAAGAATGTAGTGCTTCCCCTGAGCAGAGAGAGTATGTAATCGGTTCAGTTAATGTGTCTGTCTGTTTGTTGCAGTATATCATCCACAGTTTTCTAGATATCATTTTCATATTTGTCTGATAGTAGACACCAATAACAACTCAAGTTGATTTCATTTAGGTGAAAGTTGGGTCAAAATTAAGGTCAAGGTCACACCAAATTCAGTACAAACTTAAACTACAGAAATTACTTAAAAAAATCAGATGGTTTTCAATTAATTTTCTTCAAACCAATATACCGGTAGGTATTAGTCCTTTTGGGCCACACGTACCTAAAGTGACTGAGCATTTGACTGTCACCTTCATTTTTTTGTGCCCAAGGTCAAAGTTGATGGGGCAGTATCTCTAAATTAAAAGACCAGGTTGGTGGTTCCCGTCTTCAAAAAGGGCAACCGCAGGATGTGCTTCAGCAAGAGAGGGATCACATTCCCCAGCCTCTCTGGGAAAATGAGGTTTTAATTCTAGTCCTGGAAGATGGACCAGTTCTTTACGATACTTAAGGTTGCATGGGAGTTTGCACAACCACTCTACATGAAAATGAGTGCACTTTTTGTTTTGGGTTAATGATATGATTAGAAAGAGTTGTTTTTGGTTTTCCGTTAATGTTTCATACGAGTCATTCATCCTGGAAATTCAAATATGTGAATTATTTTCCAAATTAGTCTTGAAAAAAATGACCTTTTGTGTTTGTGTTTTTTCCTATAAATCATCCCCAGTCCTTCCTTCTCCAGAACTTTTTTCCCCCCTTAAACCTACAGTGGCTCTGTTTCACCATTGTGCTTGCTTTCATGTCATGCATGGCAAAACTTTTAAATCTATGCACTGACACGGATTTAAATTAAGAAAAAAAATTACTTTTGCAAAGAAACAGACAATACAAAGCTTCACAAAGTAATGAAGGTTTACCTGTGTGCTGTGGTGTTGGAGTAATGATTAATATACTCTATGCAGCAATATGATGATAGCTGGAGCTCGTGGAAATGAGTCTGCAAGGAGTCGTTCTGGTCTCTGTTGAACTCTGTTACCTCAAATGTATGTTTGTCTTGGCCAGAACCTTTGAAAACAGCAGTGAATCTTGTTTAACTGCAAAAATTTGACAGGAAGTAGCTTATGTTAAATGTGTTTTTTTTTTCCTTAAGCAGAGTAACAGATATAGCTAATTAGCTAGTAATAGTAGTAACTCTATTTATATAGACTTGTGAAAATCTGCATTAGAAAGTGTTTTCTAAGAGAAACAGAATAACAAAAGAAATAAATATACAAAAAAAGATAATAAAAGATGTTGTGCTGCTATCACAAGCGATACTAGTATTTCTCTTTTTCTTTTTACAACCAGTTTGTGCCATCAGCTGGTTCCATACTGGTGAATTTAAATTTATTCAGCCATTTGTTGTGACGTGTGACCCAGGAAGAAGAATCTGTATCATTAGAACAAAAATGAAAAAATACAGGACCAAGACCGACCCAGTGGAATATTTAACAGATACAAACCAGACATTTTCACCCAGTGCGCCATTCTGTACAACAAAGTGTGATGGACTGTATCAAAGGCAATTGAGACTTTGAATAGTGCAGTCACAGTGATGTGGAATCTACAGAACCCTGTTGGTTCCTTTTAAAAGATGTAGGTCCTTTCATGTGCAGAAATTATTGGCTTTGTCACAACAAGGTAATTTAGAAATTGGACTGTAGTTTTTAGAAGTAAGTAAGTAAAGTTTATTTATATAGCACATTTCTCAGACATGTGTCACAAAGTGCTTTACAAGAAAGGTAAGAAAACACAATACAGTCATAAACACATCATAGAACATAGCCAGACATCTTAACAAGGTCTCTGAGTCTGTTTATCAGGATTGTATGATTAACTGTATCAAAGTCTGAAGTCTGAAGGTCTAACAAGACCAGGACTGTGTATTCTCCGGAGTCTGCTGACATCATAATATCATTAGTTACTTTTAGTAGTGCTGTTTCAGTGGAATGCAACGTAAGGAAATCAGATTGTAAACGGTCATTGATGTTGTGTTTTTCCAAGTATGCTGTAAGGTGGACAGCAACTGTCTTCTCAAAGAGTTTTGCCATAAATGGTTTGGAGTTTGGAGAGGTCTATAATGTTGAAGTAGTGTTGGATCTAGGTTTGGTTTTTTTAGCCTTGTTTCCACAATGGCATGTTTAAAAATGATGTGGAGCACCAGAGTCTGAAGAGAAACATTAAAAAGGTTCACAGCCCAAGGACCAATGGTGTCAAAAGCATTGATGAAAAGCTTAGCATTGATAATATCTGAGGGCCTTGAAGACGGCTTCATTTTATCTATCTATCAGCCTGCCATTTCATCAAATGTCACAGGTGTAAAAGTTGACCAGGAGTGCAAAGTGAGTGTCTCACTTGGACAACAAGAAAGCTTTGGGGAGATTTTAGCATTGATTTCTTTGATCTTATCAACAACAAAAAAATCAGAGGAGTTTATTATTGTCTGCTTCAGAGTGCACAATTAAAGGTACCACATCCGGGGATACAATAGCACTGATTTTGTCAAAAAGAAACTTGGGATTTCTCTTGTTTTTTGATATGAGTCTAGAAAAATATTCTGATCTAACATTTTTCATCGTATCATTTAAGGAGAGCCTGAGATCTCAAAGATGGAGCCTGTGTACTTCAAGTTTAGTTTTCTTCCATAGTCGTTCCGTTTTGCTGCATATTCTCCTTAAATTTAAGACTCATTTATCCAAGAGCATGCCTTCTTTTGTAAGGCAGGGCTTGTTTTAATATATGCCACTTGATCCAAAATCAATGTGCATTCCTTATTAAAGGACTGAATAAGAGTATTTACATCGTTTCCGGTAAAAAGTAGAGAACTGTTAAACATGACGGAAAACCTCTCAGTAGTAGTCTCAGTTATTATGCGTCTATGAGTTTTTAACTCCATAGGTGTTTGTTTAAAGCTAAAATTGAGTTAAAAAAGACACAATTACGATCACTCAAATGTGCATCCTCAACAAACACATTGCCAGTGTTGATGCCCAAGGAAAGGACAAGGTCCAAGGTAAGGCCTTTTGTATGGGTTGGACTGGAGACATGTTGGACAAAGTTAAAAGAATCAGATATAGATAAAAGTTCAGCTGCAGAGTTAGATGAAGCATCATCAATGTAAATGAATGTTGAACATGAATATTAAAATCCCCAAGAATCAAAACTTTCTCGAGCTTGATAATAGAAGATAAGAAGTCCGTAAAATCCTTTAAGAATACAGTAGCAGGGCCATGAGGGCGATAGACTAAAACACAATAAAAGATGTTCGTAAAGCCCACCTTAATTGTTTGTGACTCAAAAGAAGAATAGTTTTCAGCTTGCATACCTCTGCATGTGTAACTCTCCTTATTATAGATGACAGTAAGTCCCGCACCACAGCGACCTAAATGGGGGGCGCCCATGCAGCAGCAGCCAGCAGGGCACAGTTCGTTTAGGTGAATAAATTCGCCATCCCTCTGCCATGTTTCAGTAGGAAACAGAGCGGGCATTCAAGAGAGTAATCTGACTAAATGCTGGCAGCGCAGGTTTCACATCAGGGCAGGGATAGCTCAGTAGGTAGAGTGGTGGCCCCATGATTGGAAGGTCGGGGGTTCGACTCCACTGAACGGCTACCCTGAGGTACCGTCCCTACTTACTGCTCCCCGGGCGCTGCACTGGTGGCTGCCCACTGCTTCACTGGGTGAATGGGTTAAATGCAGAGGAACTATTTCCCTGTGGGGACTAACACGCACACTTTACTTTACATCAGCTTGTCAAAGTGGAACTGACAGCAAACACCTTGTCCGAATGCGTGGTCTCCAGCAGTCCCATGGATCCAGCGGGACCAACCAACGGTTTTGCGATGCAGGCTGTGAGGACACAGCGGTAGGGATGTAATCAACAAAATCCAGAGCATCAGTGGAGAAGGTTCCAGGCTGTAGCGGCTGAGAGTACGGGTTTCCAACCAAATCTGAATGGGTAACTGGCAGCAGAAAATCACCGATCTGTAGGCTCATCTAATGTGTACCTGAATGCTAGCCCTACAGCCTCTTTTCCTCGATTTCTTCTTGGAATTGCCTAAGGCACGTTTCGTAGGTAACAAGAAGTAATCCGGTGAGGTAGAAGAGCGCACAAATGGTGGGGGGAAAGTTTTCCTATAACTGTCCCAATCATCATAAAGACGTTCCATAGACTCTTTGATGGGGAGCAAGGAAGAATGGTCATAAATCACACATAGCTCCATATATAAAACGTCAGGGCCGATATAACAGCATAAAATACAATACAATGCAAACAGGTAGAAGTCAAGCCGAGCAAAGGTGTCATCTTCCTGTCACAGTCAGTTAGTAGTTAGTAGTGGATTTAAACAGCCAAATTAAAAGAATAATCAGGAACACACCAATGTGACAAGATGCTTCTACACTCTTAAAAATGCTGGGTTATTTTCATAACTCAACTGCTGGGTAAAAGCCGTAGGTTCGTAAATTGGATTATTGTGACCAAATATTGGTACAGAAATCATGACTCAGGAGTTGGCTTGGTAATGTCTCGGGTTCTTCAATTCCATCCACAGGTTGACTAATTCTGTGGGGTAATTGGTTGGGCAGCTTTTTTTTTTTTTGTGTCCCGTTTGGATCTTTAGCCATCAGAATTGTTGTCTTAAGGCCAAGAAAGATGCCAAGCGGATTTATTTTACCAAGTG